CAGGACATTGTTGTTAGGGTGAAGTGATTGCGGGTACGAGTTTAGCTTTAGACATGAGCTGAACGTGGAAATGGGGTGCATATGCCTGTGTCAATGTGAGTCTTCTTTCTATCCACATTCACATGAAAACACAACGCCATATGTGAACCTAGTGGTGGCGCGAGACTACTAGCGCCCTTCTTGTTTTGGGTGGGCAGTAGGAGGTAGTGCCATTTCTATGTATATCATGTTCTTCAGGATATAAATCAATAGTAGTGCTACTAATGTTGGAACTAGAAGACAAGCTGCTCTCTTCTACTAAGGACAGCGGAATGATCTTCTACTATATTGACGTTGTGCGTTCTTGATTACAAAGTGCCCATGTTGAGGGCGCCCCCTTCTACTGTCCACCCAAAACAAGGGGGCGCTAGTAGTCTCGCGCTGCCGCTAACGTTATCTACATCTAACGCTCACATCTACACTCACATCCAGACCCCAAATAAGGCCCAAACCCACACCATATCCATCCACAGTCTACATCGACTCACATCCATATTCCTATTTCAACTATACCTAAACCTCTTGTTAAGAACTGGGTGAGAATAAACTTATAAAAATAATATTTGGTTCTTTTGTCTAACATTAGTTGAAGAAAATGAGTCAGAGTGAGGTCTCTTGGATGGAAAATTTTATATTTTATACATCGATACTATCTTCGAATGAAACAGCGATCAGAGTGAGTAAGAGTGAGTGAAAGCGTATTGCACTAACACCGCCTCGTTATAATGTGCATAAAAAAAGGAGAGTCTTTAGAATATTGGCAAGAACAACTGCATCCTGTTTCACATTTTAATCCTACGGATGCAGCATGAACAAATTTTTCCCAAGATCAAGATTTTTTTGTGGAAATACCACTAAATAATACTATGCGAGCCGAGATATACTTCAAACGAATGCTTTTTCGAATAACTTTTGGAGAAACTAGTTAAATGGTGGGTGTGGATGTGAGGCAGTGTTTCCAACAACAGGTGTTCACAGCATAAGCAAAATGTATAGAACATGTGCTATTTTTGATTCACACTCTGATTTACACCTTGTTCAAAAATACAAAATGTACGTTGTACACTCTGCTAAAAAAATTACACTTTGATTCTACAACGTTAAAAGTTGTATGTAATATTAACATCAAAGAGAGAGTTTCTTTGCAAAATAGTCGATTATGACCTCGCAATCTTGAGTAAAATTCTACTAATGACTAGTATGATTTCTTTTATTTTGTCTTCTCGCTCTTTCTCTAAATAAACAATTAGTTCTAATTCTAAAACGACTCTCTGCTTGTTATATTGTTATCGATGCTAATAACAAGTTTTTTCAAACATATTTCAGATTTATCGTTTTCATCCGTACAAATGTTAAAAGAATAGAATCTTGACAGTTTCGATCTGACTTTAATTATTCGTATGAAGACGAAGGTGAAAATCAAGACAACAGATGTTTTGATGATATTGTGTTTTCAAAAAAAAACCTAAATTAAAATTGCTATATTTGTGGTATAAATTCATAGCTTTTTTCTTAATGTTTTCTTCGTAAGTGGACTGTCAGATTCTGGGAAAGTGTGCTTGTTTTTCATTCATTTGTTTACCAACTATTAATTTATACTCATCCTTAAAAACGTTGTCTTTTGTTTCTTATATTGAAAGAACATTAATTTTTAGTACACTTTATACATGCTGATACTAAAAACAAACTGTAAACGTACATTGTGACGATATTAGTAAAATGTACACGTACATTTTGTTTTCGATTTCCAGTGGAAACACTGATGTAAGGGTTTCAGTGTGGGTGTCGTATGTATGGCCGTAAGATAACATCCACACATCCATATCCACACCCACATCCTAGCTAATAGTTGATCGAATCCTTTTATTCTTTATTAGCATAGCATTTTTCTTAAAACAGCTTTTCTGTTTTATATTACCACTCATTTTACACATTATTTTTAATTATGCAGATAAGATCCATTGGAAGGCACTAACTACAAAAAATACAAGAAACCAAACACGGTGTTTACTATTGTTTGATAATTATGTCTTTAAATATGAACAACGCTTATTATACATATTTTCCACAAGAAAATCAATTGCTCACTTGTTTCTCTTATGATTTGAACTCATTACAATTACATCAAATGCCGATATCAACCCAAAGTTCAGTTAATATTCCATGTGAATACATACTGTCAAAACCTATTCCAAATCAGCAATCAAACCAAGGTTTGTTTGATATTCCAAATGAACACGTGCTGCGAAAGTCTATTCCAAGTCGACGATCAACCCATAAACACCGACAAAATAAACCGAAAAAACATACACAGCAAGCATCTATACCGAATGGTACAACTCATGTACCGTACACTAAATCTGATACTCCCAAATCTATACAAAGCCAACGAATTGTTTCACCTAAAGAGTCGGAGCATAATCTTATATCCAAAGAACAATCAGCAAGCAAATCAAGCATAGATTCGGATTTGTCACCAAAGAATAGCGAAAATTCACTATCGAAACGTTCTTCTGTAGACCATGAGTATTTCTCTGCGGTGAGTCAGCAAATCGGTACTTACTCAAACGGAGAACTGAAGAATATCCTGAATAAATTTACAGATACAGTGAAGAACTTGAAAAATAATAGTTCGAATGAACAGAAGTATCCTCCTGTAATTGGTGTAGTCAATACGGTTCTTTGCCTACCTCCACAAACGCTCATATCTATTGCTGAACACCAACTGTTTGTGGAACTTCAAGAAACATTGGTTGACATCCTTCGTCGACATCAATATCCTTCATCTTTAACCGAGCATGAGATCACTGTGTTTTGTTCCATGAGCAAGCTAATGAACACATTAGTTAATAACATTCCGAATCTTAGTTTGATTCCAACATGGATGTTGAAATCAACTTTATTGGAGATGATCGCGAATTGTCTTACTGATATAGCCAAGTCACAAGATTTTCTGTTGAAAGATAACAATTATTTGTTTGAGAATTACACGGATTTGTTAGAAGTATATACAAAGTATCAACAACATCTGAATGATGATGACGATTCAGACAAAGATGCTGTTGTTAACCTACTTGAGCCTGTTGTACACTGTCTTATTTCATCATATTATATTGACCTATTCACGAATATGTCAGTGGAGACGAAATCAATGACAGCTATTGAGAATTTTTTCCTTATTAGTTGTCCCGAGTTTCTTACTTCTTATAGAGGTAACTCAACTTTCTTTGTTAGCGTGTGTACAAGAACCAAATTTTTTTTTCGTTGATCTCTATTTATATAGGTGTTTGTCTCGAAGAAACTATGGAGAATTTACTTAGTACAATGTTACCTCAATGCAGTGAATTGCTACGTCATCTAGCTCCTCTGGCACAAAAGTGGAGTCAACCGATAATGAAAGCAACTGATCAGTTACTCAAAATGGTCAATCATGGGGAGAATCAGCTTCAAATCAATATGAAAATCATAAGTGAAAATCTATTATTTATTGATCAGGTACTAATAATACTCGAACAACCCATTTTTGATACTAATCTTCACGATGAATTATCTGATTCAACGATAAGTCTTGCTAACACAATGGTTTGTTTTCTTCGAAATATGTTAAATGAACCAGACATAGCTGATCGGATAAACCAATCAGAAATGGTGCCGACATTGAATCTTTTAGCTTCGTCTAATAATGAATCGTTAAAACTCAATGTTTACAATCTTATTGCTTATACAGCGCATGCAAACGATATTAAAGAGATGGCAAATCTTGGTGAACTTCTTGATACAGTGTTTCAATCGTTAAAAACATTAATGAATCAAAAATCGAACAAAACAACTGAAATAGAACAATTATTGGATACTCTCAAAGGTAAAAAAAAAAGATGTCTGTGGCATCTTATAGTTCTTTGTTTAGGTTTTACTCAACACGATCCAGTCAAAAGTGAAATCTTAAAGCAGAATGCTATTCCATTGCTTGCTGATTGCACTACTCAATTGGAAGGCAAAGCACTGATATTAGCCTATGATGTAATATGGAAATTGTCGTTCAACGAAGAAATCCGTGACATTTTAAATTCCTATCCGAATCTTGTTGACCGAATTCGAAAGATGGCTCACGATGATAAAAATGAGCCGTTGAAAAGAATAGCTTCTGGCATTTTCTGGAAACTCGAGAAAGGTAGACTAGCTTTATATTTAATATAGACATTTTTTCAATAAATAAATATTATAGAAAAAAAGTTCTACGAACAATTCGAAAAAGAACAAGTAGACGAAATCGATCACGATGGGACATCTTTTCAAAGTAATGTATTTGTTGGGCTAGATGCAATGGAACGAGCTAACACCTCGAGAGGACACAATGGAACACCTAGTAAAGAATCATACAAATACGATCTAATGATCTCGTATTGTCATGATGAACAAGAGTTGGTACGTAAAATATATACTTTTCTTGTGAATAAAGGTTTTAGAGTATGGATCGACTTTCATCATATGCATGGATCAGGTAGTAACATCAATAAAATCAATGAACTCATTAGTTACCTGTTTCCGTTTTCTTTATTCAGTTTTAAGTGCTATGGCAAATGCAATTAACGATTCAGAATGCATCATCTTATGTATGTCGGATTCGTATAAACGCAGTACCGCTTGTCAATGTGAAGCTTCCTATGCATATAAGCTTAAACGACGTATGATCCCATTAATAATGAGAAAAGGATTCAAACCTGATGGTTGGTTACAAGTCCTGATTGGATCACGATTATATATCAACTTTGGTAAATCGCCGTTCGATGAAGCATGTCAAAATTTGATGAAAGAAATTAATGCACTAAAACGAGTGCCTATACTACCGGAAAAAGTTGTTAATGATACAGATAATAGTGCAACTAAAGAGCAACCTTCTGTAACTGTAAAACCAAACGAAAGTGAAAAACCATCACCAAGAGAAACTACTGTATCCTCAATAATCAAAACTCGAAAACCGACATTGAATTTTATTCGAAAGTCAATCCTTGAGTGGTCTGAATTAGATACGCAAGACTTTCTTGTAGCTAATCGTTTGAAACTACTACTACCATTATGTGAGGAGATGGATGGCCGAGCATTAATCGAACTATACAACATTAGTATCAATAATAAACTTCCTGTTTTTCATCTTATCAAAAGTGAATTGACAAATATGCATAAAGCATCATTCTCGTTGAGTGCTTATTTGGGGTTTTTATCTGCAATAGACGAAGTCATTATAAATTCTTCACAAGAATTAACATCATTACTGCCAACAGCAACAGAAACAACTACTAACGGTACTTTGACGAAATTAGGCATACTCATTCCATTTGATGTTGCTCCGAAGTTCGAAAAGTCCTATGATTTTTCAATTACTTCAAGCGCACACCCTTTTGATATATTAAAACTGGTTGAATCTCATGGTAATTCATTATTAATGCTCGATCTGTTACGTCGACAATTTTCACATCTAAATTAGTTTTGAACATTCATTAAACATAAAACTTGAACATTCTCATTTTATGTCGCATCTAATTTTTTTGTTTTTTTGATTAAAAGAGTTTCATACATCATAAATAAAAGATGACAGAAGGTTAAAAAGCACATAGAAAAGATTTGTCGTAGTATACATACAATCAAAATGGATAATAAACAAGGATTGTTCATTAATAAATGAATTATTCAAATAACGAATTAGCAAACCAATATGAATAATCATATCTAATATTTTATAGGTCATTTGTGCAGACAACAATCATTGCTACCGGTTAGTAATGTATCATTATCTAAGCAAGTTAAACATGTAGACGGATTTAAAGGATGAGCATCTGAATAAAAAACGTCGAAAATATCAATACTGATTAAAATCATACGCATTGAACTATTCAATATTTTAACCTTTAACTTGTTTCACTTTTGTTATATTTACAGTTTGATGAATCATTAAATGTGTATCAATGGCAACTGATGCTAATTTTTTTCCATCAAGACTAAATGCAAGATCAGTTACAGTTGCTGCATGATAACACCACATATCACGACCAATTAATTCAAAATTTAGTAATTGATAACGCGTTATGTTTTTCATATTATCAGCAGTACCCAAGAAGCATTCATCATGTGAATAAGTTAAGCGAGTGACAACATCATGGCGTTCTAATTCTCGAAGAGGAATTAATGTTGTACCATTAACAGAAAATATATGCACTTTATTATCCTAGAGCCAAAACCAACCATTCATATCCACTGTGACTATGTGCTTTTCTTCAATATTACTTTCCCACCAATAGCAACTTGTGTACCCTCTGCTGAGGATATGGGTGTGGGTGTGAACGTGGATGTGGGTGTGGGTGGATGTGGATATGGATGTGGGTGTGGGTGTGGGTGTGGGTGTGGGTATGGGTGGGGTGTGGGTGTGTCGATGTGCT